GGTTCAGTGTTAATCAGTGACTAGAAAGAAAATCTGGTTCTTCTAAAAAAAATTTGATCAGATTCCAACCATTCATTAAGGAACTGGTCAAAAGAGCCGGTGTCACATCACTAGTTTCCATTGCCCACAAACATCTGCTATAACCATAGACTGCATAGTTATGCAAATCTCACTGGAGTGACTCTTTATTATCCCTGTAGCTCGCTTAGACTGACCAAAGCTGTTGTGAACCTTTAGACCCTGTAATCCAGGCAACTATGGCCTGGGCACCAAATGCAGCCCTCAGACCAATTTTTCTTAGGGCTAAGTCTCCAGGAAGACTGATGGCCAACAGTCAAGTAGTGCATTTTACAACAAGTTTTAAAATTCTACCTTTCATAAAACCAATTTTATCAAACATTTTAGTGTATCCCATTGAGATTCTAAACCTAAATTAAGGTCTAACCTCTGGATCAGTCTAACCTCTGATAAAAACACCCATTTTAATTATTAACTGTATTGATGACGAGTCTATGGCCCTCGATCAGCCCTGCGCTTTGTCTTTGTTTCAACATGTGGCCCTTAATGAAAAAAGTGTGGACACACCTGTAACCTAAAGTTGATCAATTAATCAAGCTTAATTTCAGATTCATTTAGACCAAATTAAATAGCTAATTAAGAAGACAACCAATTATCAAACCAAGGTACTATGGCCTTATGACATCCATTGGCTTTTTCTTCAGCACGTAAAGCATTCAGAGGTGTAATCATCACAATGCTGCTCAGTTGATATAAAACAATTACATTTTTGATTCTTCATAGTTGAAAGTCTTTTCATAAATTTAGTAATACTGTACTGACAAGACATCCACATCCAAAATCTAAAAAGTGAAAATGAGTTTAAAATATGGAAAATGTGTGAATAGCAAGGTCAGTGTGTCTTTTACTTGTAGCTCCCTTTTGTGATACTTCAAAGGTATTTATTTGTATTACTTTACTTTCTACCTCTTTCTTCTGTGTCCTTCACATTGCATTCAACTCAGTCTATTCAACTCACACATCTATTCATTTTCACACTTGCAGTAAGACTTTATTTGGCCTTGCAGAGCCTCTCATTCATATGGATGATGTGGGTACTTGCATTTTATTGTAAATGGTGTTAATCAGTGAATTGTTGCCTTTCAGATGCTGGGGGTGATAACCCAGAGGAGGAGGGCTCAAGCCAAAGTGCCTCTGTGGCGTCTGCGTCTGTAGAACTGCCCCGGAAGAGGAAGGGAGATGTGGATCTGAGATCTGAGCCACGGTGAGACATTTGGACGAGGACGTCAAAGGAGTCTGGCTGGTTAATGTTAGGAAAAGGGTTTGGCCTTGTCTTTAGTGTAAAACAATGTCAGCTTTTGTAATGTTACGTTGAATACAGGAGTCAGGAAACAGCGGACTTAGGTCCTCTGAAAGGTCCACCAATCAGAAGATACTAGACTTTATTTGAATAAAATTGTTAGTGAATTGTATGTACCTGGACATTCAGGCCTAAAATTAGACAATATAGAAGCATGTTATGTTGCATTAAAGGTCAGTAATTTCCAGTGTTATAGTCAACCTCATGATAAAAGAAACTAAAAAGACTATAAAGACTAGTGTTGTAAAATTTAAAGATTCATTGTGTAACTTTTCTGGTTGAGACTCCACTCATTCCTTGTCTCCATGGGGATGTTATTCCTTTGAATGGAATGTGCCACAATATGGTATTAGACTTGTCTATTTCCATTAAAAACTAGAAAAGCACTCAGAGAGTACAGACCTCCGCCAAGGACTACCCCCATTTTTTATATAAATTGCGATAAAATCAGTCTTCTGGATCAGATCCGGATCAGCCTTTGGAATATGAAAGATGATCCCATTGTCCATCCCTGAGTCAAATTTCATGGGGTTTGGTCAATAATTAACCGAGATATTGAGAAACATGGCCCCATTTACCACAATGTTAACAAAAATTTCAAAGTGATCCAGAATCCAGGATTTCTTCCGGATCACCCCCAAAATGAAATCAGTTCTTCCTTTTCAGATTTCCAACAAATTCTGAAAATTTCATCAAAATCGGTTCATAACTTTGTTTGTTTGTGTGTTAGCAACATAACTCAAAAACAAACAAACAAACAGACAAACGGCGGCAAAAACATAACCTCCTTGGTGGAGGTAATAAGCATGTGACGCCACCAAGCTAAGTTACAGGCCATATCTATGGAGAGGTGACCACACTCAAAGTAAAAATGCATGTTTGTCAAGATTTTTGAGCAATGAAACAACTTTAATTAAATTAATGCAAGATGGATACATTTAATTGTGTATTGTTGGATACGCCAAACAAAGCAGTAGCGTCATCAAAGAGACAAGCAGGTGGCGGACTCTCCCCATGAAAGTTACGCAATGCACCTTTAATGTATTGCATAAAAATGTCAAATGTGAGCTCTGTGTATTTTTACCCTTAGAGACAGTGATGACTTCCTTATGGATGAGGAGCTCAGCAGGTAAGAATATTTGTTCTGGTTGAAATGGATGAAACGGAAATAACTTGTCTTCACCTGTTTTTAATTCTCAGATCGGAGGGAGAAGACCAGCAAGTGAAGATGAAATGTTTCAGGTTTGCCCTATTTTTATATCCAATTTTCACACCTCATGAGATGTAGAATATTCTATTAACAAACTTGAATGAAATTTAAATTAAAACTCTTTTTTTTTTTTGCACACAGGGAGCCTCACCGTCAGATTGAGAAGCGGCGGAGGGATAAAATGAACAACCTGATTGATGAACTGTCGGCCATGATCCCCTCGTGTCAGCCCCAGCCCAGAAAACTAGACAAACTCACTGTGCTCAGAAAGGCTGTGCAGCACCTTAAAGCACTCAGAGGTAGATGAAACACATTACATTACATTATTTACTGGAACACTGTGTAAACTTTGTGGTGGAGGGTTCCATAATATGACATTAAACTTATTTCTTCAATTTAATACACTTACAGGTGTTTTTATTGACAAAAAAGAAGTTTGATGAAAAACATGCAGTAAGCAGGTTAATGTCTCCACAGATCTGACCAGTAACTTGACCTAGTGGCGTTACTTGCCTGTTACTGTGGAAATAGATATGTTTAATGTCATATTGTGGAATATACCAGGCAAACAAATAACATCTCCCTGGAGACAAGCTGGCAACCTACACCACGAAAGTTACACAGTGCACCTTTAACATGATCTTACTTTACCTAACATTTTATTAGTTTACCTAACATTACTTTACATTACATTGGCCTACATAACATTATTTTACCTGACTTACATATAGCGGTCTCATCTGCTGGAATGAGAAAAAGCAAAAGCAAACTCTAGTCGCACAGCAAGAAGGTTCCTGGTACATATATTGCTTTTCTATCTCAGATGGGCCCCTTCAACCTAAATCATGCACAATACTAAGAAGCAGTATATGGTACTTTGACAAACTTAAACTCCATAAGAGAAATGATGGATCATGGCACAGAATAGCTCTTTGTTAGTTAGATTTCAAACTGGCTGATTCATATCAGTACTTATGTTTGTAGCTGGATCGAGCAGCGCCTTCTCAGAGAGCACCACAAAGCCTTCCATCCTGCCTCATGAAGACCTCAGACACCTCCTGCTCAGGGTAACACTACCATATGCTCTTGTCAGCAATGCGATGCCTACTGTCATGATTTCACAGTTTACTCTGTTAGGCCTTGAACATGCATTATAAACAAAGCTGTGCTACTTTCTCTTAAAACACGATTAGAAAGCTAAATATATTTTGTTCCATTACCGCTGCATTCCCCTTTATGGACATTAACATTTCACATTGTCTCTCCAGGCTGCAGATGGGTTTTTGTTGGTGGTGACGTGTGATCGAGCTAAAATCCTCTTCATCTCAGAGTCTGTCTCTCAAGTCCTCAACTTCAGCCGGGTAAATTCAGTACACAGTCCAATATGGAGCGCTAAATCATTAGCAGTCCTATACCTAAATGTCTAACTATAACAATATTTGTCCATTACATATCGTTATCATTATCAATAGGATTTTTTCTTTTTTTGGTTGTTCATTATTATAGGCTAATAACTACAGCATTATATTGTGAATTCTGTTCACTAACCTTGGCAGCACAATACAATACTTGGCAATATTGTATTTCAGAATACAAATGATTAATTTAGTATGTTACAGTTGGAGTTTATGGGGCAGAGTCTGTTCGACTTCATCCACCACAAAGACATCCATAAAGTGAAGGAGCAGTTGGCCTCCCCCGACTCCTTCCCTCGCCAAAGCCTCGTAGATGCTGCAAGTAAATCTTTCTCCATGTGCTTCATCTCTGTTACCCCAGTGCCGCGTCTGTGCGTGGATATAACTCCTGTTTGAATGTTGTCCGGGTGTCTCTTCACAGCCCCCGTCCCGCCTCAGCCAGAAGCTCGTCCTAGTGCGTCTCACATGTCCACGGGCGCGCGCAGGTCCTTCTTTTGCCGCATGAAGCACAGCCGTATCAAACAGGACGACAAAGGCCTGCCCACCAGCTCCAAGAAGAAAGGTGACATCGCATACCATAAATAACACGGTGATAATACCAAGGCCATGACTGAAAAGGTTATATATTAAAAGATGGTAGTGTTGCACTGTGGACTTTTTTGGTCTCAGAACACATGCTAGATTTTGACAGTTTAATAATTTGTTTGCTAAAGAGCCCTGCCTTTTATAGTCAGCTATAGCTGCAGTTTGTAAAGAAGGATGCTGTGATAGTATTTGGAAGAAGAGTTACCAAGCTGCTGTCTTGGTTTAGTCTTGGCCTTTTCCAGATGTAGTTCCAAGTTTAGCCCCAATTTATGTATATTTATATATATTTTTATAACCCCTATTTGTCCTGGGTAAATTCTAGTATTGCAATACAGAGTAGAAGAACGGAACAATAAAAGGTGTGTGTGTGTGTGTGTGTGCGCAAATTTGAATGTGGCCTTTTAAAGATTAGGTCATATTGTCCTGTCCTTTGTAAATCCTTTTACTATCACATGGCAAACAGATGAAAATACTGAGACCATCACGTCCTACCACATTTTATAATGAAGGTTGTTGGTTTCTCTTATCAGCAGCTCCAGTTAGACTCAAATGATTTAGTATTTTAGCCCAGAAAATAAGAACATTTTGACCCTCTGTAATCTGCCCGAGGCCACTGGGTCAGCTCATATCTCTGCCTTAAAAGTTCTGGAGATGATGCAGAACATTTTTCAGAAATCTGTTTGTTTAACAGCAGCCATGGTAATGGTACCGGTTGTATGTAGTAGTGGTAAATTAAATTAAAATAGATATCAAAAGTACAAAAGCTAATTCCAAATAAGAATCAAAGTGCACCTTTTTATTCTAACACCAAAATTAAATAATTAAATTGACCCATGTGGTCTTTTCTGGTGTCATTGCTGTAGAGAAAGGTTAATAGCTACAAAAATCACAATACCACAGTTTCCTCAAGGTTTCTCTGTTTTGATGGCACAGGTCAAACAGGAGGAAATGGGTCAGTGTTAGAGTTGTATAAGCCCTCTGAAGTGGGACGGTCCCACTGTAAGTCACTGTAAACAAAGGGGACAGGTGCCACCTAGTGACAGTACAGTCAACATACAGTGAGTTCAGTAAATTGAATTTAAATTCAAACAGAGGGCAGAAGAGCCCATCAGTGTCACAATAGGTTATATTGGAATTTATTTTTTACTTCTAACTATTTTTACATAAAATTAGATTAAATTCTGTGTGACACTCAAAATGACATTGATCTTATGGTGTGCTAGAGAGATGCTTTAACTTGATAAAAATCAGTTTTCATAGGATGTTAAAAAGTAAAAAGTCTTTAAAAAAAAGAGGAGTTCTGCAGTTTTAAATTCTATTTTAATATTTGTATTTATGCCCTGTCCTTTTCCCTCATAGACTCATACAAATACTGCACCCTGCACTGCACCGGGTATATGGGCAGCTGGCCGAGCTCAGACCTGGACTCGGAACCGGATTTGGAGCCTTCCCCTCTCTGCTGTTTAGTGACTGTCTGTAGACTTCACCCACACAGCTCCAGTCAGACCACCAAAGACCAGGTCAACACCAAACCCACCAAGTTCATCACGCGCTGCTCCATTGACGGAAAATTCATCTTCGTTGACCAACAGTGAGTTTCAATGGACAGTTTTTTCATCGGTTTGTTCAGTATTATCTTTGATGTCTTAATGTACAATGCATGTACATTAAGATGTGCTTATTTTGAGAGGAAATGGCAAATGAATCTAGACCAAATTGCAAAAGAATTATCCAGACTGAAAATCCACAAATGGCCTGACCATGACCTTTTCATTATATGGAAGGATTTGTCTCCACAAACTTGCCATAATAAACTGAACTCCTTCCAGTGGAAAGAATCACATATCTGTGTTGAGTGAGTAAAGCCACACATATTTAAAACTATTTTGAAATACACACACACACAACCAAGTTTGAGAAGACATTGAACATTGTGGCAGTTTTTGTTTCATTTGGATAGGTCTGGTAATTACAGAGATATTAACTATAATCCAGGAAAAAAAACATCTGCAATTTCAAAGTTAAACCAAATTCTACCAGAATTATGCCCTATCCTCCAACTCAGTTTAAAAACTGGGTAGTTTAGAATGGTGTGATGTGAACCCAACTTATCAAAGGTGTACAGGCATCAACAAAAACAAAAGTTGTTGTATTAGCATTCATTGTACTTTGTACTTTAAATATTAATTCTCCCTGTCTTTCTTTCAGAGCTACCACCATCACTGGGTATCTGCCTCAAGAAGTCCTGGGTACTTCCTGTTATGAATATTTCCATCATGATGACTTGCATCACCTTGCAGAGAAACACAGAGAGGGTGAGTTCATTCAATACAAGCTCTATAAAAAATATGGACTTAATATCAGTAGACTACAAATTAAACAGTGCTTTCTGTCAAGTAGTAGTAAAAACATATAGTAATTGCACACATCCAAAATAGTGAAACAATGCTGCAAATCAACAGGAAAAGGGAAATTTTGGGGATTTTTATGTCCTATTTACCATGTCTTGCTGGATTTTTCTACAGTGCTCCGAAGCAAAGAGAAGATTGAAACACAATGTTACAAGTTCAAGACAAAATATGGCTCCTATGTGAACCTCCAAAGTCAGTGGTTTAGTTTCACAAATCCTTGGACCAAAGAAATAGAGTTTATAGTTTCTTTAAATAGAGTTGTCACGTAAGTCCTAATTTAATTTTTTTTTTTATGTTCATAGTTTATCACAAGCTGATTAGTTTTGTTTTTTGACCAGGAGGGGGAGCAAAGGCAGTACAGACGAAGAGGAGGCAGGCAGCTCTAAAGCACCTCCAGGTGAGAAGAGGCGAAGATGTAATTTTTAACTGTGTCCCATTTCTTTTCACTGGCCTTATCAACTTTGAATCTCACCAAGGAGAGAGTAATGTTATTTACTATGGAGCTACACACTGACTGTCCACGTCAAAACTTGGTTTCGGAAGTCATGTGGTCATTTATATTTCTGAAACTTTATAAACAGCTAAGTTAGAGGGACTAAAATAATAGCATCATGTGTATTAGGCAAAATAGCTGGTTATGTTCAGTTGTGCCTTAAAACTTTTAATGTTTAAATTATTTTAAAAGTCTATGGAAAAAATAAATAGGAAATTTCCTTTAGGAACGTCAGCAGGCTTTGGCGGTCGGGACTCTTGTACATCCCTTTGGCTGCGTCTCAAATGCGTTTCCTTCCCTTCTTGATTCCTTGTTTCCTTAGCTTTCAGACATGTTCACTGAGGAGGAAGGGGTCAAGTTATTTCATATTGATACTTTGCATCTGATGTCGTTAACATTCCCTGGGGTTGTGATGCCAACTAAAGGCACTACTCTGTTTGAAGCTTTATTAAACTTTAATCTGAGCTTTATTTTAACACAGTTTGACCAGGAAATAATGGAATTAATTAGTGCTACAACAGGTGAGGTGATTTGTGCTATTAAACAAGTCTCACACATAAAATTACAGTCACAACAAACTAGTCAGCATTAGTCAACAGTTTAGTGAAGTTTAATTTAGTTAGTCACACTAACCTTTTTGTTGCAAATCTTTTTTGAAATCCATTTTGTCTTTTTTTTTTGAATTTTCAGATGATTTTAAAACTTTTTTTGACAGTGTTTTCTAATGCATGCATTGTGTGCTCCATGGTAATTGATGAACATTCCTTCATAGAGATACATGCAGAATACCCCCAGCGTGATGTCACTCCAAAGTATCAATTGGCTCATCTCAGGAGACATGACTGACAGCCGAGGAGTTGATATATTGAGTTAGAATTGAATTTGTCTTTGTATTGTTGTTTGTCAGAAGTGTCTAAGGAATTACCCATAATTCCTGGCCTGTCATCTGGAGTGGGAACCATGATTTACGCCGGCAGCGGGACACAAATCGCCAATGAGCTCACAGACTCTTATAGGTGAGTTTGCATTCTGTGTTTAACATTGTGACCAGTAGTATTTATCTGACATTACTCCTCATTTATGGGAGACCAGAACAAAATAGAAAGAGCGTAAGGTGCCTTGATCAGTTTTTTCAATAGACAAATTCTGGTATTGGATATATGCGCTATGATTTATTTGTTATTCAAAATATCTTCCCCAGGACATATATACCAGTTGGTCGTAAAGGGTTACAGTGAGGGTTACACCCAACAATGAAAACATATTTGAATCAATTTATTTTTATAAATATGTGTTCAGTGTTTTGTTATTTCTTTAATTGTAATCATATACAGTCTGTGGTCATAATATAAATTCATATGTTCAGTTTGAGGCTATAGATACTAATTCTACAGTTATTACTGGGTGGGGACAAATTAACTGGTAAAACAGTTTTAAATAAATATAATTGTGAGAATTATAGTAGCCTAGACTTGTCTAAATCTAAATTAAATTCAATATACTAAAATATTAATTTGAAAGCAACGTGCTGGTACGTTAAAAAGAGTAGTATGAGAGGGGACGAGTGTATATGATATGAATGAAGGATGTTACGGTTACCCAGTCATGATTTCAGTAACAGTGACATTTTTTCTCAATAATCTCAACAGTAAAATTGCGTATCTGTGAGTTGTGTAAACATTCTAAATGTAATCTATGGTCTGGTTTGTTTTTTTTTAGCAGAATAAACTCTTCTCCGTCGAGTGGAGCTTCCAGTCCGTTTGGTCTAATTCAAGAAAAACTTGTGCTTGCCTCTCCTCACACCAGCAAGAGTGTGAGTGGCTGTAGTACTACACAATTAAGATACTGTCAAATGATTTAAAATGGTCATTGTTTATTTTATCTTTTTCTATGTCAGGGGTCGAGTCGAGAAGAGGCAGGAGGCAGCTCTGAGTCTAAAGCTACAGCAGGAACCAGCAGTGGGTCGTCGGAGAGCACAGGTAATTACAATTTAAAGGGCCAATATTACACTATTTTATGATCTGTTATAATGTTGTTTCCTCATCACAAACACACCTGGAGTTGTGTTTTGTTTCATTCACACATGTTTAACACACAAACCCTGCATATTTAGGTTCTTCAGAAAACACTCCACCATCCACCTTGTGATGTCATGTGGTAATACAGGAAGTGCTCCACTGTGTTTTTAAACTTCATACACCTTCACTAGAATCATTTGGAGAATTTCAGCTCTGGAACAGATAATTTCTACTTCACTAAAATTAAGTAGAGATTGAGTAGGCGTAGTTTTTATTAACTTAAAAACTACGCTTCATGGCATCACAAAGTGGATCAGAGGATTTGGAGATTTGGAGATGTAGACAGACTAATAATATACGATTATGATCACATGTGTGAATGAGACAAAACACAACTGTGGGTATGATTTTGGTAAGGTAACAGTGTTCTAACATGGCTTAAAGCTTGCAAGTATAAATTTTGCATAATATACAACCATTAATATAAAATACCTAAAAAAAAAAACTAAAAAAAACATAACATGTCTTCTTTAACCTGCCTTATCCCCCCCCCCCCAAAAAAAAAACAAAAACCACAAAATATATAAATATCTACTACTTTGATATTATCGAGTTGCAGGTGAATCGTCATTGGACCTGGACAACGTGGTGGTCCCAGGTCTGAGCTCTTTCAGCAGCGATGAGGCAGCGATGGCAGTCATCATGAGTCTGCTTGAGACAGACGCAAACATGGGACAGAGCGGAGAGTTTGAGGATCTACACTGGCCTTTTTAAAACTTCTGCTCCTCCCTCCGAACTGTGCTATGAACTAAAGCCACAAGGGGGAGCCATAAAAGACAATAGAATATGTGACTCTTTTTTTTTTTCTTTTTTTTTCTTTTTTTTTTTTTTATTAAAGAGACAAAATTGCTCTCAGAAGTGTCTTCCTTGGGAAACCTTTGCCCAAACTGTCCCCAGGCCCAGACACTGACAAACTCTGAAAATGAGTGACCAGAAGAGAGGAGAGGAAGTGCTTTGTGCATCGCTGCTAAGAGGAATTCAATATACGAAAGCTTTCATACTATGTGAACTTTTTAATAAGATGTCTATAGGTAGTCTTTGGAATTTAAGTGATTTTAAAGGTGCACTGTGTAACTTTTCTGGTGAAGGCCTGCTTGTTTTCTTGGAGATGTTACTGCTTTGCCAAGATTATTTCACAGTATTGAAATAAACTTGGTTATCACAATGGAGACAATTTAATGGTCAGATCTATGGAGAAGCAAGCTTGCACATAGTAAGAATGAATGTTTTTCAAGGTATTTTGAGCTATAAAACACATGCAATTGAAGAAATGTAAGGCAGATATGTTTAATGTCATACTGTGGAACATTCCATGCAAACAAATAACATCTCCATGGAGACAAGTAAGTAGTGGACCCTCCACCTTATAAGTTACATAGTGCACCTTTTAACTAATTCCATTTGCAAACTGAGTCATGCATAGTAACATTTTGAAACCAGTCCCAGATTTAAAATATTTAAATTACTTATAAAGCTAACAATGTTCACCAAGCTACTGACAGTTTTAGCACATAGCTGTGAAAAAGCCAACAAACCTACCACCAAAACTTGAATTTGAGATTGATTTGTAGAAATAACTTGAATATTTAATTTCAGATGAGAAGATTGTCACATTTCAGATTAATTTTGGCCAAACTGTGTGACTTCTGGTCTCTTATTTTATTATTATTATTTTTTTTATTTTTTTTTATTTGCACATACAGTATTTCAGACAAGTTGTTTTTTGTGTTCAAGTGACATAGGAAGGACTGCAATAATAATGATGAGTCAAGGTTCCATTCTGTACTCATTAGAAATATCACTGTGTTTTTAATTCAGTGATTTTCACACAAAATACCTCATCAAACATTTGGCTTTGCACATTTTAAGGCTACATTCTCACTTGCACACACTACATTAAAACTGTGACTAAACCAGGACTATAACAGTACCAAACAAACTCTCTCTCAGAACTAAATTGGGCTCAAACCATACATAAACTTTATGTGTGAATGTATCCTAAATTAATCTTCACACATGCTACCTGGTGTAACACAAGTGGTAAACAGGGTTGACCCAGGTCTCAACAAGGTCTAAACAAGGTCTAAACCAGCAAATAGTAGTAATTAACAATGACATAACTAATACTGGGACTTCTGTTTGCTATGAACTTTGTAAACAAACAATGCTGGATCAAACTTGGTTAAATTTTATCTGTATTAACATATATAATCATACCAGAGCTTGAGGGCCACTGCAGTAGCTTTTTAAATGTAATTTTCACTGACATCTTCAAACCAGAATCTCTATTGGAGAGTAGTGGAATTACATCAATTGAGGTCTTTTCCCAAATGTACTGTATTTTTAGCTGAATGTCTAACACGTGGATTGTATTACATCAGTGTGAACTATTGACCTATTGTTGATTCATAATGTGACATATAGTTGCCTTGGACCTGCGTTTTTCTACTTTTTATCAAACAGATGTGGCTTTAAAAGCAATGCTGATGTGGATTATAGGTGCCGTTTAAAATGGACACTGAAACAAACATAATGTATTTATGTGTAAGTGGATCTGCTGTGGAGGAACAAGTATTTCTGGAAGTAAAGAAGCGAAGAAAGAGATTGCAATGTTTCTATTTATTAAATATGATAAATACCATATCATACCAACTTTATTTGTAAAGCACTTTAAAAACTTTATAGCTGGCCAAAGTGCTGTACACAAAAACAGAACAGACAAGGACAATCACAGTACAAAACAAAACACAATACAAACACAATAAAACAGAGAAAACAATAAGATACTCAACAACAAGAAATGACACATAATATACTGTATAAAAGCCAATACACACTGCACACCTTTAATTATTTATTCATTTGAATGAAAACCATAAACCGAAAACCATCCTGCAAACAATGGATTTAGTTTAGAGCTTGCTGGTGGAGAAAAAGAGGTAAGTATAATATCTTATTGTAGCCTAATATTAATGTACACTATCATGAATGTAATTGTTTTCATTTGTTTTAAAGCTGTGTACTTAAGTTCGTTTGTACCATGTAAAAATCTTAATATCATGCATTACTTGTAATACGTAATGTGCGGTAATAATATTTGAAGGCACGCTGCTTTATATAGGGGTTGGTCGCCTCCTGTTGACAGAAAGTGAAAATGAAGTATGTTTGGAAAGGCTTTAGAGCAGAACAGCAACATAACACTAGAGAGATGATAAATAAATAGCATAGAGAAATTCATTTCATTCAGAACTGTGAATGTAAACTTAACCATTTGGATAACTTGACAGGGGCGATAGTTTCTGAGCTACAGGTTAAAGAGGTGATCTGTGTTATGGTTTTGTTTCCTCATCAAAAACCTTCCTGGAGTTTTGTTCTGATTCATTCAAACATGTTTAACACACAAACCCTGCATATTTAGGCTGAGTTCTCTCAGAAAAAACTCAGTTCCTCCTTGTGATGTCATGTGGAATTACTGGAAGCGCTCCACTGTGATTTTAAACACCATACACATTTACAACAATCATTTGGATGATTTCAGGCCTGGAATTGCCAATCTCTGCTGAACTAACGGTAAAGGGGAGTTTGAAAACTACCACCACATGACATCACAAGGTGGTACAGAACAGTTTGAGCTTTGGAGATGTAGATAGGCTAATAATAAAGGATCACTCAAATGTGTGAATGAAAAAAAACACAGCTTCATTGTAATAATATGGATTAAAGCTCCCAAGAATAAGGTTTGTGTAATATGGGTCTTCAATGAGCCCTCTGAACAACAGAAATCACCCAGAATTGTTATTTTTCTTAAATCTGAACATTTGCTTTGCTTTAGAGAGGAAGAACAGAGGCCCGACTAGGACTCCAAAACAGGGGAACAGCACCGAGCACTGAAACACATTACACACAACCTCTGGGGACACGGAGGACCTTCTGTTGTTGTGGATGTACAGGATGAAAGGGATCAGGGCTAGCACAGGACAGTACACCAAGACGGATGACACTACCACAAAGAGCAGACGCTGGACTGCCTTACGTTTCTGAGGTGAATTAGAGCGATTGTTGTGACGAAGAGAGTCGTGATGGGCTGGAGACATTTGCCCCAGAAACCGCACCAATGTCCCAAAACACAGCAACTTTACAACAAATAGGAAGGAGATAATGACAGAGACTGGAAGTATGAGCTGGATGCCGCCTATAAACCCTGAGAGGAAATTAAAAAAAGGTTTTATCTGGTTTAGTACATACAAGATAAGATAAACCTTTATTTGTCTAATCGGGGAATTACAATGTTGCAACACAATGGTCAAAAACAACAGGGAATCAAAATCAAGATATTAACAAAGATTTACAATAGACAAAAGGCATTCTTAAGATCTGACCTATAACTTGGCCTGGTGGCATGACCATTTAATGCCATATTTTGGATCTTTCTAGGCAACGCAACAACATCTCCATGGAGACAAGCAGGTGGCATATATTCCAAAGTGCACTGATCTATTTTATTATGTTTCTTCATCAAAAACATACTTAAAACCTTTTTGTTCTTTGACATTTTGAACATTTTGGAGATGTTAACAATAATACAGGATAAAGGGTGATAAAGGGTGATGATAATAATAAAGAGTTACTCAAAAATGTATGAATGAAACAAAACACAACTCCTGGTATGTTTTTGATGAGGTAACAGCATTATAACATGGCTTAAAGCTCACAAGATTTGTGTAATATAGGATCTATATTAGGATCTACTATAGGATCTTTAAGAATAAAAAAAAATCACTTACATGATGTGACAGAGACGCCCACAGTAATGACCCAAACCACCACACACACCATCACGCGGTACTTCTTCTCCCGTATCTTCATGTATAGCACGGGTCGATTCACAGCTAGGTGACGCTCTATACACATGCAGGTGAGCAGCAGAGGAGTCCCAATCAAAATGAATGTGTCAAAAATCCTTCTGAGGCCATGAGATTCTGGAGTTAACCTTGTTTCGGTTTGATTTCCACTAATAATGACTGATACATCTGCAGGAAAACGTAAAACAAGGTACATTACTAATATCTAATTCTGTATTCAAAGTCATGCTCATCATGGTCTTCATTTAGTTCTGGTTTAGTGCTGGTCAAATCTAGGTTGGTTGAGTACCAGGTTTAGTCCCAGTTTAATCTCAATTCTTATATGTTGTTCATGCAAGTCATAGCAAGACATATAACTGATCTGTTCTGATATGAAACAAAAAATATTACAATATCTGATACAATATCTGACCAGGTCTTGCTCTTGTTGTGTTGAATGTGTCAATATGAGTCAACATCAGATCCACAGGAATAATGGTCAGATATATCAGATTCATAATAACCACATTCACCCCCAAAACCTGAAAAACACAAGCAATTTGACATCTCAATCAAATGGTATATATCTAGTCAATACAACATGTAATAATCATGTACCTGTGAAGCGGACAGTGTTTTCCTCTCCCTTAGAAACAGCATGAGCAGAGCAACATTGGCCAAAACTCCTGTTACCAGTATTATGTTATCAACCACAAACCAGACCGGACCCCACCGGGCAGTGTAACAAGAGTCATGCATGCCCTCCATCACGTCCACTGAATCAGATATACCTCTCTCCATCCTGTAAAATAATATAACAACCTTTTATTTAAAAGGTTTAACAATGCAGTAGATCAGAAAAGTAAAATGTTATCTTGCTTTAAGGCTGCAGTGAAGCCTAGATATAATCAGAAATGGCAAGATATTAGATATGGTCATAACCAGTTTATTTAATTGATTAACTGACTGATTAGTTGCCATCGTCCCAAACCATAGTAAAGTATATTATTACATCTGGCCTATGTTTATTCTATATTAAAGATGCACCATATAGCTTTTTAGTGGGAAATTCCCCACCAGCTTCATGGAGATATTTGCAAGAATTTTCCACAGGTTTGCCTCTCTACAGATCTGACCTGGCTATAACTTGGCTTGGTGGCATCATTTGCTTGTCTCCATATAAAGTCATAAAATCATGTGTTGCATAGTTCACCTTTAAACTAAAAACTGCATTTCCAGTACTTCCTATGCAAACTATTGGTTGTGGTATTCTAATCCCTCAATTTGTCCTTTGTGTTTACCTTGTGAATCCAAAATGTTAACAAATATAACATATTAAAATAATGTTTAAAATATATATAAATTAAATTAGAGAACTTTTCATGGAAAAAATATGATATGTGAAGCAAATTCTTTGAAGCTCTTACCTGGAGATCCGACTAGTCCAGGTTTAGTCTAGTCTGAACTCTGAATGTGACACACTCAACTCAAATAAGGAGGTTTTGGGTTAGATTTGCCAGCCTTTGATGCAAAATACTGTCTATAATAAAAGTAACCTGTTTGTTTTGCCAGAACACAACATTTACATTTGTTTCACAATTTATAAATGATATGGCTTCCAGATGGACAAAGAGCAGAATTACTAGATACAGCCTAATTGAGATGAGAGTCAACAACAATAACAATCAACAACAATAATGAAGGAAGTGAACAATACAGTTCATATGGCATTCTACAAAACCAGATCCTATTGCTTACTTTCATTTTTACTTTTTAAAACTTGTTCTGAGGGAAACTCCTGTTAGGGGTTATTTTCCTGGAAAGACCTGTTCTGCCTAAACAAGCATGTGAAGTCCTGTCCCCTAAGTTTTAAGGTGCTTTCTGAACATCTACTGAGGTTTTAGCAGAATTATATTTAATATAGCATAATTATATTAAGAAGGCTAAATAACACTTCTGATGTGATGAAGTAGTTCTAATGGTTCAAGTAGTCTTGTTTGGTTGTAGTGAATGGGCAGTAGGCAATTTATTTAGGCTATGTGTAACCTAGGCTACGTCACAAAACAGATCACTGCACGTGATCTGGGTTTCAAATAAAATAGGCCTAAATATAAAATAGCCTGTGTGAACAATTGTCAGGTTAAGATAGAAGATAGTGTACAGTCTATGGTTACAGTATTAGGGGTTTAAATATAACAGACCACTGCTGTTCAACACAATCAAAAGAATATTACGTATACATTAGCCTATTATAAGATACAGGCCTAATAGAGATGAGAAACAAAAAAGCGAAACGAAGACAAAATACACACTCGTTGAACTTATAAATGTTACAATGGCTTAAATACCCTATTATTGTTTTAACCAATCAGCGTAACTGAAATTCTTGACTGACGTGAGGATTATCCAATAGAATTCCAGAGTCTGATCTGTTTACACCAGCCCCCCCTCTTGTGCAAGGCGTCTGTTTTGGTGAGTAAAAGAAAGTTCATTGAATCAATTTATTGCCTTTTTAAACATTTAACCCTAAAATTAAGCAAACCATTCGACGTGTTATTAGTAGATGTATCAAGATTTGTCAAATTATGGAACTGACATCGTGTTTTTGTCGTTATTAAAAAGCCCGTTTGTCTCGTCGCTCAGAGAAGCTTTGTTGACGTTACATGTTTTGTTGAGAGAGCCTTTACGCAAGCGTCATAACTACTTAAAACTAGTTAAAGAGCTACTTACTACCGCGATCTGGTAAGCTTTTCATATGTTTTTGGGCCCCATTGTTTTTCTTTGAGGTAAATTAGCTATATATGTATATTTATCGATGAAGCGCTCGTTTCCGTAAAAAAATGTCTCTTTAATTCGACGTTTTAGCCACACAATGCAACAGAAACATGTAGTATGCAAATATAATACAACTAAAAATAAATATCGTCCGTTTTTTGATTTGTTGGAACATTTTTGTCGAATTGAACAGCTTCAATATTGACTGAACTGTCTTATCGTTGAATGAATGGGCCCTTCGTGCGCATGCGCGGACTCACAGAAAGTTTATAAACAAGCGTGTCACATGATGATAAGATTGCGAAACAGATGAAGCTGAAGTTATGCTTTAGTTTCAGTTTTAGGCTATTATATAATGAGAAATTGGTCAAAAGAAATGTGTCGTTTAGTTAGAAACATGTAGCTTAACCGTCCTATATGAATGTGATGTAACAGGGTCTCCTCGGCTCACCCTAAAGCCATTTATAGCCTCTATACATTGGACTGGAGAGCGTTGGGTTTCCCTGGCCTTGTGGGAGGTTCAGAGTGGAAAGCACATCTCATAATAGTCATAGAAGTACATTGTAATACTAATAATTTTTACGTGGTCAATCGTTGGACAAATGTTAACAAAACATGTTTTTAATAACTGAACTGTAACTCACTCTAATATAAAATAAACCCAGTGATTCACAAATATGTATGTCAATATTATGTCTAAAACTAAAAAATCCTGGACCAAATGTTTAGAAACCAACCAACAGGTGACTAGCTCATTTGGAGTGATTCAGGTTAACAAAATGAATGACTGTGTTTCAGTGATACCATGGTGTGGGAGGTGGTGACTCCGACGTCCAGTGTGATTAAACACACCACAAGTGACTCACACACTGAACAAACAGGTAAATCTGACTAACCTATTATAAACCACAAACTGCAGCATTGTGACATCATCAGAGCATTACATCTCAGGGGCTCACAGGGAACACAATAATAATAATTACTTAAAATTACTTAAAACACTGAATGAGTCCAGCTCTGAAATTTGAAAAAGTGGGTTAGGACCTGATTTTTTATTATTAATTAAATAAACGTTGCTAATTGCTTTGAGAAACAAACTTGTCAACAAATCCTAATTTTGCTCTTATTTCCTGGTTCAGAGATGATGGCTGTTGATGATGATGCCCAGTCAAGAGATCTGCTTCACTGCGAGGATCACTTTTCTTCCTCTCCAACAATACCAACCAGTGACAGCTACATAGAATATGGTAACATTTAAACAATGTTCTTAATTTTTTTTTCAAGCTAGATTTTGGTTGGGCAAATCATAGTGTCCGAAAGATCACTCTCAACCCCTCTTATTAGCAATGAAATTGTTCTGTACTGTACAGAAGAACAGATAATGTTTCTATTAATGCTGATTCATCATCACAGCTAACAGCAAACTGACTCCAACCAAAAATGTTTCAATCTTCCTTGCTTCCTCTTTAAGTGGCACTTCTATAACTCTTTACAAATCAGCACATATGAAGTAGGGTCTGTGGCAGTATCATAAGTGTGATTCCTGACTCTGCTGCTGGTGTCTCCCACTCTTTATCCCAATTTTATGCTTAATACTGTCCAAAAACTTTAAATAAATGTATAAGAACTTTGTTTATGTATAATACTCATTTTAACCCTGACCCCATTCCAGATGACCTGCCTGAGCTACAGCAGGTCCCAGAAGAGACCCCCCTAGTGTTTCAGATGGAAGCTGGAGTGTCCCACCAAGAGCTGACCTCTGACCCCGACACACAGAGACTGACCCAGCTCGCTCTGATTGCCACTGGACCACAGAGTCCCCTGCTGCAGGAGGATACACACAGCAGGTAAAAGGATATCTTCAAATATTATCTGGTCTGCTTTGCATAGTACTAGGTTGTTCTTCAGCCAATTTCACAAGTAATTATATTATATTGTGCATATTACCTAAAGATGCACTGTATAACTTTTTGGTGGAGGGTCAGTCATATGCTTTTCTCTAGGAAAATGTTATTTCTTTGTCTGGAATGTTTCACAGTATGGTATTTAAGCCTTTCTGTCTTCATGGAGACCAAACCGGGCCAACTGACAGGTCAGAGCTGTGGAGAGGCAACCCTGCTCACTGTCAGAATGCCTGTTTCTCTAGGTATTTTTGAGCTATAAAACCACCTGTACTTGAATAAATGTAAGGTAGAGCTGTTTAATTACTGTGGAACATTCCAGGCAGAGCAATGACATATCCATAGAAACAAGCAGGTGATGGACCCCCAAACAAAAAGTTACATAATACACCTTTAAGTCTTCAATATCTTTCTCGATTTTATTGTTTGTTTTTTAGCTCATCATCGTTCAGCTGCAGTAGAGATCTTCATTCATATGCTAGGCCTCCGCCTGAGCCTCACTGCAGTTTGTCTCCCTCTAGAGGCTGTGGCAGGGAGCGCAGACACAGCAGGGTACTTTTTAGCTTTAGTAATTCTTTATTATATGATTCTGTTATCATAATTGTACTGAGATATGTGTCTTCTCCCACAGACGAGCAGTGAGTGTGGCTCTGCAGTATCGACCCGCTCCTCTCTTTCTGACGATGAAGACATGGGCTGGAACTTCTCCTGGCCCTCCACTGTGTGGCACTGTTTCATCAGAGGTACTGTTTTTCATTTGATTTTTGTATCTTCCCTTCACAGACAAATGGAAATTCCTATTATTATTGGTCACAGTCAAGCCTCGTGCTGGCTTCTTGAATTTAGATGTCAAATATAAAGGGTTATGTATGTCTATATCTAGAGTTGGCCCTGGTCACAAATATGAATTTAAAAAAGCTGCAATTATTGGTAATTAATACTGTATAATACAATATTGTTCTATTATTTAAAACAATGAAATAAATACATAAATAATAAATGCAATTGACCCAGTCTAATACATCTTGTTAACCCATATAGTGTGTATGCTGTATTACCACTGTGTCTAACCACGCAGAACTTGTTTTCAATAGTCAGTAATCAAATCTGTTCCTCCATAGGCACTCAGTTACGTTTCATCAGCAACAGTAAAAGTAATTGGCAGGACATTGAGGACCTGAAGAGTGATGAACTTTCTGAAGAAGAAGAACAAATATTCAAGGTAAGTTACTATAGGGCACATTTACAACATTCTCAAATTTATATGTACCTGGATGGAAAAACAAACAAAATCTATTTCCTTGTAATTTTCTGTCCAGAGTTATGGCTCAGAGGGACTACAGCTGATGGAACATTCTGAGACCATGTCATGTGACCAGCCTGTACTCGAGTTGACGTTTAACCCTGGACCGTTTGGGCACAGTTTCTTGACAGCGCGATGCCAACTTGACCACCCGTTCTACGTCAAAAACAAAGGTTAAAGCTAACTACATGATTTTCTCTCATTGATGGTAGAAAGCAACAATAGTTGTAGTAGTAGTAGTAGTAGTAGTTGAGTTCTTTTACTACTACTTGTACATAAGTACTTGAGCCTTCAGTATTATTTTGAGGTTATATGATGGGGTACATTTACATGGCCAGTAAAAATCTGATAAACGGAACAAGTAATCAATATATTTATAGAGTAACTGTTTTGGAAGACAGGGTACAATGAATGTGAAAGACATTCTTTCAATCTTTAAGATTTTGTCATGAATTTTTGCCATTTTCGTTTGCAATTTTTTGCATATTTTTCCTCAAAATCAGATAATCAGATAAAATCAGATATTGGTGTGTATGTAAACATAACCACTGTTTTCTCAGGCTGGTCTTCGTTCCACCCGAGCCTGACCGTGATGCATTATGGGATACCGTGTTATGAGATGGAGGTGGGAGACGTGTGTTTGCCTCCAGGACACAGAGATGCCAAACACTCAGATGACTCCCCTGTGCTGGACACTTTCAGGAGGTAAAGAACACGGGGAGACTTTGTGCACTGATATGAAGTGGTTTATTGCTGTTTTGATGTTATATTTTATTTTCTAGTTACTCGTTCACCCCTCTGGACTCGTCTGCAGTGTATGTGCTCAGCAGTATGGCCCGGCGGAGGAGGGAGTCTCAGTCCAGCTCTGACACTGTATCTCCAGACAGAAACATTGCACATAGTAATTAACTCTTATATTTTTCTACAACTGAAACAACTTTTATGGTGGGGATCTAATGCTTGCATGTCTGTTATTGGTTTGCTTGGAATGTCCCACAGTATGGAAGTAATCTTTTAAGTTTAACATTTATTCAATTACATGTGTTTTTATTGGTCAAAAATACCTTAAAATATTTATTATTACAGTGAGCACCATGAGGTCAGCTCTCTCCATATTTGATCTGTAACTTGGCATAGTCCCATGGAGACAAAATACAGACCGACCACCAAAAAAGTTACATAGTGCATCTTCAGTGAATTCTTAATACACTTCTGAGTTATTGTATGAATACATTCATAGACAGTGAATGAATTGTCTTGCCCAAGGACACAACAAGAGTAAGCATTTTTTATTATAACATGTATGTGGTCCTACAGGTTCACACAGACCAGGCCCCTCCCACTCTCCTCATCACAAACCAATCAGAAGCCAGAACAAAGAATCACCAGGAAGTAACGTTGCCACATCCTCAAAGAGTAAACGACCCATGAACGCCTTCATGCTGTTTGCTAAAAAGTACCGGGTTCAGTACACGCAGATGTACCCAGGCAAAGACAACAGGTGCGCACTGACTTCTATTATACTATATTATATAATGTAGAGGTAGAAAAGTGTTCTTTTAGGTATTGCTAGGAGTGCCTTCAAAATTAAGGCCCTAATTTAATGTCCAGAGTAAACTTCTGATCCAAAATAGACAGGGAAAAAATCACTTTTATCACATAGAGTCAAGGAGAAAATTTGCTACATAGACCACCATATTTGAATAGGTGGAGTACAGCCAAATATTTTCTACCAAAAAGTGTACAATGGTCAAAAAAAGAAAGAAAACTGCAACAATTTCTTATATCATTTCTAAAAGTGTTCAAATATTTCTGTTGTTTAATTGTTGCAGAGCCATCAGTGTGCTGTTGGGGGAGCGGTGGAAGAAGCTGCGCAGTGAGGAGCGCAGAGTCTTCACGGTTCAGGCCAAAGCTTTAGCCGACGAGCAGAAGAGGATCAACCCCGACTGCTGGAAACGCAAACGTACCAACTCCGTGAGTGCAAAGGAATTGAGATTTAAATAATTATGATAATGAAAAATAGGGGCACTATGTAACTTGTAGACAAGCAGGCCCACAACCTGCTTGTCTCCATGGAGATATTGCTTTTCCCGTAAAGTTACACAGCATGGCATTAAATTTATTTAACTCCATGGACACATGCAGATGAGGCCAAGTTATAAGTTAGATCTGTGGTGAGGTGACCCTGATCACAGTAAGAATTCATGTTTTGCAAGGTAATTTGCAGAAAAGTTACATAGTGCACCTTTAAATTAGTTGCAGTATTGTCCAGAATTGGATCTTTGTAAAATACTTAAATGTGTGTATGGAAAATTTAGTCTATGTCTATTTGTATTTCTTCACCCGCCTTGTCTATGACATCTTATAATTTTACCAAGTGTCTGGGGAATACATCAACTCAATGTAAAAATGATTTGGGCTATAGCGGTAAAAATATTTTTTTCTCTTTATTCAACAGGGTTCACAGGCAAACTGAACCACCATAAAGAGGTGAATTTAACACAGCAACCTGCAGCCAGTCCTACAGTCTCCTCCAGATTTTTCTACAAATTAGTAATTCTTCCTTATTTTGTAATGGTGTTTTTGCTTCAATCAGGGACATCTTTTTGTAAAGATTGGTGCTATAGCCTTTCAAACAACTTGATTTTATAAAATTTAAAAGGGGGAAGATTCTACCAGTATTTTGGCTCAGTTTGTGTGTACTAACATTACTTTTTTTTTTTATTGCATAGAGTAGCCAATGCTACATTTGTTTTCTTCACATTTGTTCATTCTTCCAGATAATTTCAATTTTTTTTTCTTTTATTTACTTGAACATCTGTTATGCATACATTTTATGACTTTGTGTACAAGAAAGTAGATATTTAGCCAAATCACTGTCTTCCAATATACAGTATGGCCCTACTAAAGTAATGCCAAAATAGACAAAATTTGCTATATTTAATATCTTTTATTTTAAAAAGCAACATAATTTTCAGTTATATTTCATATCATAGTTCATTTATGTAGTTAAGTTTTGTATTTAAAAATATTTATCAGTTGAAATGTTAATGGGCAACTACCTGCACTTCATTATCCTTAAATGTAGCTAAAATGCTTTGACACATAACATTGTAAACATACAGTAAAACCCATATTAAGATCACATTTCAGATATTGCAATGGAGTGATGTAATTGCCTAGTGCTGTTTGAAAATGTTTCTATAGCAAACAGTGAGCAAAAAGTTGATATCAAAACCCTGGATGAAGCATCAGAATCTACAAAGCCACGTCAACATTCCTTCATTAGTGTCTGCAGTTAAGACTTGACTTATACAAAAGTGCTTATATAATTACCACATAGAACCCCATTTGTGCCTATTGTGTGAATATTGCCAATTAAACATACAAAAAACATTATTACAGACTAAATACATTAGTTATTTGTAATATGGTATGTGGTTCAAAGGCTATGTTCACATTACAATGAAAAATAATCATTCATATACATATAGAAAACATATTATACTATGCAAATATTAATATCCCCTTTACCAAAATGAATATTTGTAATGGTCAATATGCAATTTTTTACAAAATATTGACTACTTTTTTCTTTGAGTGTGGACATAACCTTGTGTTTTAATTGTGTGACTTTTTCAGTTATCTTTATAGTAATAATCACAATACTAATTATTCTGTTTTAGTTCTATTCAATGTAAGGGCTTTGAAATTCTTAAAATGTGTGTAGCTATTTATTCTAATGCACTGTATTCACTTTATCTACTGGGATGTTGCAGTATATTATTGACACATGTAATATGACAAAGATATAAGATATATTTTTGAAAATTTTTCTTGAAGACATACTGATAATTAAATATATTTTTGGTTTTCTTGCCAATATTCGATGTACAGGTCAAATATGGGACAATGTAATGCAATATAATGTATGACTTCAGAATAAAAGCATGATCCACCCACTTGCTTCATTCTCCAAATACTTTTATTTTGAAACAAGCATTTATTCTTTTCTGTACACAATGTGCTAAATCAGACCAGGAAATAATGGGCCTTTGAATTATAAACATCTAAATTACCAAATAGAGATTCAAAGTTATATATTTTGTGTAAATTTCTACAAAATTGTCGCATAGTAAAATAGAAATATTCAAAGGTACAATATAAACAGTTGACAGTAGTTTGGCCTTAGTGTTAATTTGTTATATTTACATAAAAAATACATGCAGAACAAATAAGTGTGGGATGAGTCAGTGTCATGTGACTTGGTTCTTTAATGTGACTGGCTGAAAATATTATGAAAAGTGGTGAGCATTTGATATGAAGAGAATATAGACAATCTTTTATGGTTTTTAATAAAACTGAAAACCTACCAGCCTAAATTTGGATTTTCCAAATTAGCAACTAAACTATTTAAAAATTCTGTTCAACAGATTTAAGGTCTATTTCAGATGGTGCTTCATAGTGGATATTCCCACAATATAACTTATTTAAAAAAAATAGGTCACTCTCCAGCTGGGTGACATGTTTTTAATTTGTTGAATGTCCTTCAGAAGTATCTATCTATAAATAACCACAGTGGCATTGAAGGATGGGTCAAATATAGAAGACAATTTTCCTGTTGATTTCTGGAAGTAAATTTAGATTTTGGACTATATTCTCTCCATACAAGCCTAATGAGCTCTTTACAATCTACCTATATAACAGTTTTCTTTGTAACAGTCCCTTCACCATTGATAATACATTACATTGGATGAATATATATATATATTTCAAATACTATCAAATACTATGAGAATTTGTTATACTATTATCAGAGTAAAAATATGATTTTGGCTTTAGTCACAGTCATTTTACCAAAAACAGGAATGGCAATACAGAGCACAGAAGGCACATAGTAGTAATAGGAGTTAATATTCAAATAGAAATTGGACAATAGCTAAATTTAAAAGTCTAAAATCAGAATATAAAATTTTAAAATAGAATTGTTAAAACAACATTTGAAATCAATAATCTCATTTAGGAAGTGTGTTGTTGGGCTGGCAGTTCACAACATATACATATACTGTATATCTTTCAACAACATGTAACTCAGAAATCAGCCTGGTGGCGCTATACGTGGTTTTAGGCTTAAGATGTTGGCAGTCACTACCATACAGGTGTTATATTTGTGTGGAATAATAACTGAACTGAACTATAACTGAACTGAACTATTTTTGAAGTGGTTTTGGTTCACTATATTTCACAGCATTAGTTTGTAGTTTATTTGATTATTGAGAAAAATGAGGAGGTTTTCCTCTTCAGTCGACAGTGTAAATGTAGTCAGAGTTTACATGAGAGACTCCAGGCTCTCTGCGGTGCTGCTGTGGCCCAGTGCGACAGTCCCATTGGTCTCTGGACTCTGAAGAACCTGCTGATCCTCCTGACTGCTCACCAGACTCAGCACTGACCGGTACAGGAACTGGAACTGCTCCTAAAAAGGCAGAAGACACATAATACTAATAAGTATCTAAGGGTACAGGTATACTTTATTCATCTCCCCAACAGGGAAATTAATTCTTTGCTTTTGATCCATCTTTTAATGTCACTGGGACAACCTGGCAGGAGCAGTGAGTGGTTGGCCAGCTGCTCAGGGGCCCTTCTCCAGATGTTGAACTCGGCTTGGTCAGGTCTACCCTAGCTGGAGGTTTATGCCTCTGGTGCATGTTTTGGGTTGATAAAAGAAACCAGAGCTCCCAGAGTAAACATACAGAGAAACACCACAAGAGGATCTTCTTCTGCTGTGAGACTGGAGAGCTAGCTTCTTTAATTATTTATTAAGTATACATTTTACATGGTTAAATGTAAGAACTATTTAGCTAATAAAGCTACCCTTAATCCTCACAAGGAACTTTCAGAAAGGGAATTTTTGGAATACTGAGTATGAATCTATATTTTAAACTTAAACTGTTAGGGTTAGGATTGACTTTATGTGAGGCTGGAGAGCTAACCATGCCACTGTTAAGCCATTCTAAATGAAACTGGATAGACAATTTCATTGTTCAGTTTGTGCAGTTATAAAAACATTCTGATGACATTAAATATATGAGATTTGATTGTTCAATAGCAGAAAGGCAGGTAGCAGAGCTGACAGATACTGACCACATCATTGAAGACTCCTGGCCTCATGAGGTTGGTCATTCGAGCCACGAGATACACGTCCACAGCGCCCTCTTCCTGTAGCTGACTGTACAGCGTGGTGAGAGCACAGAACAGGCCTGACACTGGTCCGCCCATTCTGGGAAAAGACAATAAATAAAATGTAAGCAAGTATAGTTAGCAGTAATTATAACTTAATTTAATTTTATGGTAATATATAAGTTACTTCCAACTTTTATGATATTTGTTAGTACTGAGTGGTTTTCTGACTTGACTCATTTGTTCTCAACTGATCACCGTAGCTGTTTTAACAGCTGTAGAATAGGAGTTCATATAAAAATACAGGATAAATAGGAAAAAAGGAAATATGTCTTTTTTTAATATACTCACAGGTCGTGCACTAGCGTTGGTCCTTCTGAGATGATACTGTGCTCTCTGACTGTGTTTATCAAGTCAAAGCTGTTCCTGATGGGACTGTCAGGGTTGGGCCAACAAATGGCGCTATACTGTCGCACCATCACCTCATAATTACTCTACAAGGAACCAATCAAATAAAACACATAAGAGTGATAGAAGAGCGATAGACAGAGATAGAAGAGCGAGAGCTGAGGATACACTGTGTATTGTTTTACCTGTGGACAGTGTAGTTTAAAGTCTTGTACTAAAAATTTCTCATCTCCGGACAAACAAACAGGTTCCTCTGATGAAAATGAGACAGTGAAATCCTTGAAGCTGATTGGTTGATCTCTGCTTGGACAGTATACCACACACAAGTCCTCTTCAGACTAAGAAAGACAAAAGGGAATGCATTCAAATTAATCCTGAGACCTCAAATTCAGATTACAGAATGCAATAATGTCATACTACATTTATAGGGCAAGGGGCAGTTTTTCCTATTGATAGCACTGTATTTTATATATCCGAAGATAAATGCATAAATGTTGAACCTGATAACATTAATGACTAGACCTTTAATTAATACATGTTCAAACACAGGCACAAAAATTCAAATTTTGCTCACCCCTTCATCAGAGTGAAATTACAAGATAAAGAAGTAACTAACCCTGGTTAAGATGAATCTGATCTTACCTGAGAGTGTGCATCAGTGAGACAGACCACGGTGTGAATGTTGTTTTCTAAAACCATCCTCCAGAAATCCTCCACTGTGGAGCTGAGCGGAGTCTGGGTCACTATGAACTCTCTGCAGTGGTGGTGGCCCTGGTTTAAGACAAAATACAGTTATAATAATGTAATAAAACAGACAAATTGTAGAGTGAAAAAGGCGTTACCATGACATAAGAGGCGTTTATGTAGCCCGTAGAGTTTGAGTCTGAGGCTGTGAGACAAACTCGGGATCTTTCCACTGAAACAAATTATACAGATTCAGGTTTTATAACTCTATCTGCACATACAATACAACATCAAAAGGTGACCAACAATGCCCTTGTACTATAAGGTGTGTGAAGTGTTTTGCACAAGGACAAGGAACAATATGCCATCAGTGAGGATTGTATCAGCAACCTTTGAGTTAAAGTTATAACTCTATCAACAAATGTTTGTGTTTCTTGTGCTGATAGGTTGCATTCACAGTTGTACACACATTATATTAAAATTAAAATTAAACTTGACAAAACCTGGACTGCATTGGGACTAAACCAGGACTACAACCAAACCAAGTCTACATCAGTGTCCCAGTAAACTGCGCTAAAACTAGGACTTAAGTCTGAGTGTGAACCTCAGTCTAGCAGTTACAATTAAAGTTATAAGTCTGTAAAATGTTCGCAAACTACATTAAGTGAATCATCTGTTTCGAGCCCTTCTCACCAGGCATGAGTGCTTTGGCTCTGTTCCTCTCTGCGTTCCCTTCTTTCAGAGCCGTGCTGTAGTCTGCATGTTTGGCCTGTCGCTGACTGATCAGCTGAAAAACAAATAAATATTTCATTGATTTCAAAAACAATATATTGAATAAAAACTAAATGTAAATCAGCAAAAATACATATGAAAAATATTCTAAATGTATTTTTTTAATAGCAAATATTGAATAGTTCAACATTCATAGATAGTAGTTTTACCTTGAACTGTTTGTCCATGCGTGTGCGTCCTGAAAGCCCTGGGGTCAGCAGCTCAGACACATAACTATGCAGGAGGTCAGAGGTCACAGACGTCTCTCGGCTCAAAATGGCCTCCACTAGAGCATCGTGGATGAACACGTACTGCTCCTACAAGACAGGAGTGAACACAAAGTAATCAGGGGCTGGTGAGATTCTGTATTTGATACAGTGTTTCAAAACAGAGGCAAATCTCTGCATATGCATGTTATAATGTTGCTCTCCTGACCTCAGTTTGGACCAGGAAGTTCCTCTGAGTGCGCACATGTTTGAGGAAGCCCAGGACATTGACTGAGCCCTGGTCTTGGATCTGCTGCAGCATACTGTCAATCACTATGTAGGTCCCCGTCCGGCCCACTCCAGCACTGAGGCAGGACAACAATATGTACATATATGTTATAATACAGTTATTTTTGGATTACAACAGATATTTATCAGGCCATGATCAGCAACCACCTTTTCTCACAAATATGTTCATAGAAATCTTCATGATTACATGATTACAGTCTTCATAGTAATCATAGTAACAAGCCGACAAAGGTCGACAAAGTCTAGTGGTAGGTCAGCCATCCCACAACTTGAAGGTTGTTGGTTCTAATTTTACTCTGGCCAGTTCATAATGCCATTGTGTCCTTAAGCAAGACACTGCTCTTACCTTTCTGTGGGTTGGTGGAGCTATTGGAAAGTTTGATAGCACTTTTTTACCTGCAGTGGAC